GTCGGCACGGAGTCGCCTGACCGTAGTAATTATTGGCCTGGAATCGCGGGTCGGGCTAACGAGAAAGGAAAGGGGGGGAAAATAAAAAAGGTCCCTTAAGGGCGTGAAAAAAGAAAGCCAGAGAGAGGGGGATAGAGAGGAGAAGGTTTGTCGATATGAGGAGGGATGAGTGAGAATAAAGAAAAAAAGGTCTTAGACTATAGGCTATATGGTACCAGAGCGACGAAGGGAGGGTGTGGAGGGTGGTCACTAACAAAATTTTACTAAATAATGTGAACAATCGACAATAATAACGGTCCCCCATTGTATTTCGAAATTTCGCGCCATTAAGGAGACTACCGTAAAACGAACAACCGTTTGGAGGTATTTAAACCCTTTTGTTTTCCCTGTGTCCCCTGCCGGCGAAAGGGGACCGTCGGCTGACTTCGGGGTCTCTCGCCTTGTTATATATAGTAGCTTTTGGCAAATATTTCGCCGCACGCACACAGGAGCGTCCGGTGAGTGTAGGTCGGGTCGGACTGGGTGTCAGGAATTTCCGACAATTTCGTGTAGCTGGCACGCTCGTCGCTCCGACAGTTATATTAAACCCACCCACGGTTTTTAGTTGCAGCTTTCTAACGTCGCCGAAGACCACGAGGAGGACTGTTATATGGAATAGCTGTTATATGGAAGGACAGAGAAAAGATTGGAGCAAGCTTTATGAACGCGATCCAGGAGCCACGTGGACGATGTGAAATACGAGTAAGGTCGTTCTTAATGGCAAAAAAAAAAATTGATTTCAATTCAGGTAAAAATTTTTTTGAAAAAAAAAAACAATTTTGTACTCTACGCTCACCAGACGGACCTCTTATCGCGAATATCCTTATCGGGACTATCGGTGATCCGAGGCTCTGACGTGAGTTGCGCGTGTTCAAAAAAGCATCGATTCGTGACGATCGAAGATGTTGAATATTTTTGAAAAATTTTTCATCGCGAAAAATTAACTATCCCATCGGTACACTCTCGATACGAGTAACGAGTTTGGAAGAAGCGAGAGAGCGAATGAAAGGATAAAGAGAGAGAGAGAGAGAGAGGAGACAGGAAAGCAGAATCGATTACGGTCGTTAGCGGGATATCGAGTATCTCGCGACAGTTTATCGAAAGTAACGTTTTACCGCACCGCGAGCGTTGGCGTCCTTGACGTGGAAAAAGTCCAAACCGTTCGAGTCGATCGAATCGGTGGTGGTTTCCTAACGCAACGATAATTATTGCCTCTTAAGTAAAAATTATATAATTCCATCAATAAAGCAATTAAAGCAACGGTCAAAGGCAATATATATATACATACATCTCCACGTACCACGCAGACAACCAATATTGCATGCACTGGTGATCCAATGCATTTCCGAAAGTTTCAGCCCCACGATGCAATATCATTAGCATTGCAACAATTGCAATCGACGATCGAGAATCGATCGACAATCGTCTATGCAGCAAAGACGAAAAGACGCCGCAAGCAGCCGACACATCGAGTCGCCGTCGCAGCTTGAATTTTTTATTCGTTCCTCGCGAGCGACCATTAGTATTCCTCGTGCATTTTTCCCTTTACCTAACTTCGCGACTGCCTGTTTTTTGCCCAACAAGTACAAAGAGTAGATCGGCGTAGGTATAGTGAAGGCGGTGAGGGCAGAGAGAGAGAGAGGAGAGAGGGATCGAGAGAGACCTCGCACTTGTAACTTAATTTTATTTCTCTCTCTATATACATATATATATATATCACCAACCTTCTTCGTCCCGGAAAAAAAGCGAGACAGACCGACTTGATACTTTCATGGCGGTATCGGCCATTTTCTGCTAAAAGAAAAGAAAACTGAAAAACGAACTGTCGTGTCCCGGCAGAACAGCGCCGACCGTTTCGCGTACCTAGCCGCACGGGCAGCGTAAGAGAAAGAAAGGGAAACGTCGTATACGCCAAGTGCAGTGCGACAAAGAAAAGAAAGTAGTGTAGGTAACGTTCCGAGTTAAAAGTACGTATATCAAGGTTCAACATAGGTGCATCGTATTAGGAGCCAGCTGTTCCTACCGACCACCGAGTCGGCCGGTCGCGCCTAAATTTAGCCATAGTGGTCGTGGGCACTCGTGTAACTCTGTCCTGAACGTGCACCGACCCAGGGCCATACAGAGAGAGAGAGAGAGAGAGAGAGAGACAGAGGAGTATACGAATAAAGAAACGTGAAAAGCAGGCAGCAAGAAAAGAAGAAGTAGGGTACCTGGAGGAATCGTGGCTCAAATTCATTGGAGCCAACAGCCGAAGATAAGTATTGGCCAGTCTGATGCGCGAGAGAGAAAGATAGCGAATACATAACCCGCCTCGATTACCCATAGGTTAAAAGATATAAAGCGGGTAGAGGCAACGTGTGCGAGAGAGAGAGAGAGAGAGAGAGAGAGAGAGAGAGAGAGAGAGAGAGAAACGACGTTAAACGAGCTTTCGCGTGCGTCTCGTTATTCAAATTCCGAAGGGTCCCTCCTCTCGCGCAGCTGGGGAGTGAAAAAGACGAGCGGGCCCGGTCGTAAGGGGGTACCGACCAGAGGAGGACACCCCCCCCCTGCCGAGTTGGTAACCGGCTCCATGACAGGAGTGTATAGTAGCCATACGTCGCCGACGACAACACACGCGGCAATGTCGGACTCCACTTTCAGAATCTTAAGAGAGCGAGAAACCGGCGTACGTATATGTATATATATGTATTCACAGTGCGATGCTGATGGCGCGAGGAGAGAAATCTACTTGGGTTTTAACTCCTCTCGTTCAACTGTCTCGTACGGATCGGTTGAGAGTCACTGCAGCAGCCGAGGTCGATTTTACAAGCACGCCCGTCCGCCCGTCGTCCGCGCGACTACAGGAGGCCCCCCTGTCAGCGCGACGTTTATCCTGGATACTCGAGCCTTTTCGAATTTCTTTTAATATTCCTACCCGCGATGCGTGTCTGTCGACTGAATTATGCAACGTGGCTCGATTCAAATGCACTCGCACGCTCGACTCGACGTATGCAAATGCACGCAAGCCCGACGGTTAGCGTAACGCGCCTCGAGAACCTCGTGGACGTCACCGTTTTACATTGCATGTGCTTTGTTTTTCCTTTCCTTATTTCCGATAGGTCAACAAGCTTTCTTTGAGGAGGTTCGAAAAATCATTACTCGAGGCTATCCGTGGTGCTTTGGGCAGACCTTAACCTTTTTATTCTGCCTTTCGTTATGGTTTCTTGTATTTTTTTTTCTTTCTCTCTCCCCGTCGGCATTTTGCAACCATTGGGGTGGGCTGGAGCCACTTTTTCTCGGTACATCCTTTCTTGTATGGGCTTTCGGGGATGGCTGGGCATTGGACACGAATTCAAGTGAATGAAAGCCAGGTGCGTCCCTGACTCCCTTCTGGTGGACTCTATACCTGCATATTATGCACGATGCTTTTGTATATGCTACGAGCGTACCCAACCACCTCGGGCAACCCTGTACAGCCTGGGGTCTTTAAATTTTGAGACGTGGAATTTTTGTTTGCGAGTATCGGTGTTGGGATTTGACATTTGTTTACTTTGATTATGGCTGTCCTCGATTGTCGAGCGAATAAAACAATTGATTATCTATACAGTCGCAATGGCGAGTCGTGACGCATGCTTTACCTTTCTATTTTTTTTTCTTTTCTTTGCAACAGCTCCGCATAATTTTATCTATAACCAAGAAAATTAGCGAGGAGAGTGAAAGGCGTGAGAGAGAAAGAGAGAGAGAGAGAAGCTAAATGAAAATAAAATTAAAAATATCTTTTAAGGTTAGGAATTTCGTGTAAGAAGTAAATACGGAATTAAGTGAAGAGAATTTTGCGGAGATTCGAATCGCTAGTGATTGAGATACGGTTGGAGAGATTGTAACGAAATATAAAGGAGGAACGAGAAACAGTTGCCGTAGTAGATAAGATAAGCGTGGTTTAAACGGAGTCAGGAGTCTCGACAAGAGTAGCAGAGGGCGCTGCAGTCGTTTGTTTTCGATTTTCGAAGTGCTATTCGCTAACAAAATCGAGGCTGCACGAAACGGCCTCGCAGAATGTCACGAATTTTAGTATAGGCCGAGATATAAAGTAGCGAATTTAAGTACAGGTCGAGATATAAAGACGCGAATAATCCGTGGTCACTTTTTTTAGACAGCCAACGAGAGTTTTTCGTCGTCTTCGAGGAATTCGAGACACAGGAATCGCGATCGGCGCTTTCACGTTCGCGCTAACCTGCCATCGGACGGGATAGTAAATATAGGAGTATGTTATAAGAAAAAGAGAATAATTATGGTAGTACGAATTTTGAATATCGATGAAGACGAAATTGAAAATCCGAATAAACGCAAAGTCACTGGTATCAATGCACTCGTAAAGATTGGCTGGTTAGCAAAGAGTCTTGGAAAATAAGTATCAAGCTGTCTAGAAATTCCGAAGATTTCGTCATTCGAGTAAAATGAGTCAGTTGCGCATAGAATTGTTAACGAGATCGAAGTTTTATATAAAATACAGTTAAATATTTAAGCGGAATGTTCCGAAACAGTCTGGAAGGCTTGCGAGAAAAGTAGCTGACAACTTGCTAGATTACGTAATAACGTTGTCAAAGCATACGGAGGTTTTGGTCACGATATCTGTCAGACGAGGAGGTTTTGTGAGTATTATTAGAAAGAATGTGATGTATTAAGTTTTTAAAAAAACCGAAGCGAATGAGTGACGAAAAAGCAAAGTAACAGGCAACTGCTGACTGACGTAGCCTGACGTATTTGCTCACTCGTCTGCTGTTTCTGAATGATTTTTAAAAAGCTTTAACACATCCGAAGCTAGAATAACGTCGGCAGACACACTGCTAGCATGTAACGTGTAAATTGAAGCAAGCAACAGTAAAATCTCACTCGAAATATGGCTACCGAAAGTCTCGATCGGACATTACGACACGGACAGTCGCATTTCCATCAGTAAAAGGGTCGCGTTACGTCGCAATAAATATGAAAATGTACTCACCCGATTTCTCACAAAGTCCTCGATAGCCCGTTGCGCCGAGTCGGTAAGTTTCACAAAGATCAAAGACTTATTTTCGTGAAAATTGCTGTGCGATGACAAACCATACTGGACACCTGCCACCAGCGCCGCCATTTCTATCTTGGTTCTCTCACGCCGAAGACCAGCTGACGTCGGCTAGTCAAATGAAACACTTTATTCTCGGGGGAGGATTTTCGACGTTCTTCTGGTACGTAACACCGAATGGAAATTGCACTAATCGTAGCACTCGCGTCCCTCGCCCCCGTGGATGACCCGCGCGCAAAACCACCCTCTCGTATTTCACCCGTTACATATTAGCGCGTCGACACATGTTTCGTTTCAGATTTTCTCTTGATTAGAAGAGAGCAGCGCCTGTCCGCAAGAAACTACACAACTACACACTTTCGAACGGCCACCTGATGGGCGGGGCTTGCGGGATGACGTTGGCCAATCACCGTCTCTCTCTGGGAAGTGGTGGCTGCGCGAAACTGGAGTCCTCGCGCGGCCGAGAACAACGACAGACTGTCGGTTTTCTACCGACAATTCTTCCGTTCGATGTACGACTAGCGCGCTCTTACGGTCAAAGTCATAACTAATTGAACCCTCTATAAACCAACGTATAAATCTGCCTGCCTTTCTGTCCGTCACAATACGACGAACAATGTTCAACTGTTTACAGGATAAATACAGTCATATTACTGTCATAAACCAATCTACGATGACAGTCTTTCGAATACTTTATTTTGATGCACTGCACACGTCATCCGAATTGAACTGAAAGGTATTATGCATACACTAGGAGTGCACAAAATATTATCACGTTTTTGTTAATTCTATTGACAGTTGAATTTTACTAAAGCGGAGGTACAATTCTATTTTCAGATCGTGTGAGGCAAACCCATTACGTCTTCATATGTCGCGTAACACGCTTATGTTGTCTATGTCGTTTGTCTTGTACAACTGTATCTCTTGTGGATTATTCAGCTAGTGGAAGCCCTGCTGCGGGTCAAATCAGTACATCTCGTAATATAAACGTGACAGAGAATGGCGCTTCGTGCAACGTGAGATGCGGCTCCGAATTTTTTACTGCAGATTCTCATTGCGTGACCTTCGCACTTTGCAAACTGGTTCTCCTCGAGAATGTATGTCTGAACAGATTATTTAATTCTTGAATTCCTTTAATCAAGCAACACAGAACGTCCATCTGCATGGCTGCAGGACAGATGTTCGGTTGAAAAATACATAAAGACAATCTAGCAGACGACTTATTCGAATGTTCTTAAATACGACGCAATGTAACAGAATTATCGTTTTTATATCGTCATTTATTTTATTCGGTATACTAAATACCACCAAGCATATGAACTAGACCCATATCCAATTTTAAACCGTCCTATTTAAATCAACGAATAAAACTTTTGCTGTTAATTGAGTCTATCGGGCTGGACTATTTACTATGGACTGTACATATTCATAACCTTTTATTGCATGCATAGAATTTAGATAAAAATAACCGATTGCGTTTCGTGCAATTTTGTTTGTAAAACTAATATGTTGTTGGTTATTCCCTTTTGAATCCTCTACGTGTAAATGGTCATTAACATTGTTTTCTTTATCTAATCTATTAATAGGATGTCCATACGCGAACAAGCTTAACTTCCAAATGACTGGCACATCTCCTTGGAGGAAGCAGACATAAGGAAAGGAAGGAACTTCCGAATAAGGTCCGCAAGATGTCTTTTCCGGATTTACGAATATCAGCTGCACGTCAGTAGTGACGATTCACGATGTCCATACGATGTATTTTTAACGTCCCATAGTCCTACGGGACGTTGCACGATTAATCGACGGACTTTGACTTAAGAGTCATAATAAATCTTATTTCGTGAAAGTACATTTTGAAAACAATTAAAACGATATTATCTCTAACGGTATTAATACTTCTGTGCACCATTGTATTCCTGGCACATAAATAATTGGTTATAAAAAAAAGATCGTAATGATAAAAATAATAAATAGGGATTTTGTTCGTGGATTAATTTGTTCACATAGTAAATCAGCCTTGATTATAGTCATTGTGCTTTAGAAATGTATTTTCGTTCGATAATACACAATAAAACTTATCGGTAATGAACGGCAACTATACTGTAATCGTTTATCCTTTTTTTTTACCGTATACGTACAGTAATTATAACAGGAATGGCAATAATAACGATAACGAGAAAAGTAATGCCGACGATTAACCATGATCATAATGGACAATTTATCGTTATACGTATACGCAATGTCAATGCAGCTCGACACGTAATTTTGGGCCTCGTCTCTCGCTTGCCGTACTTTAGTTTATACTTAATAAAATTCGTAATGATGAAGATTAGTACATAATTTCACTTAATTTACTTACGCAATGTAGTATTTTGTACATTTCAACAAATCGAATATTCTTAACGAACGCAATGCTCTCTCTGTCTCTCTTTCTCTCCTTCGCTACGTTCCCCTCTCTCTCTCTCTCTCTCTCTCCCACTTTCTTTCTCACACTGTCCTAATATGTTTTTCTCTCTCGCTCGTTCGTTCTCTCACTATATACACATATATGTATATCTATACGTAAATATGCATGAATATAAAATGATTTAGGCATATATATATATATATATATA